TGTTTCGGGCCAGGAGCTATTTCACTTCCAGTCAGCTGCTTATCTATGAGGCACAGATCCGACCTGTCCTGGAATACTGTTCCCATATTTAGAGTGCAGCACCCAAACATACCCTAAAACTGTTCAACTCTGTCCAAAAAAGGGCGATTTGTCTCGTGGGTGATGCCTCGCTCACAAACTCACTCACTTCTCTGAACACCGTAGAAAAGTTGGCAATTTGGATCTATTTTATAGATATTCTCATGGACGATGCTCTTCTGAAATATCAACAATTGTTCCTCCCGTGGCAATCCCCGCGAGATTAACCCGTCGAGTTGAGGCTTCGCACCCCTTCGTGGTCACTTTGGAGACCTGCAGAACATCTCTTACCAAAGAATCGTTCGTTCAACGAACAGCGAGGCTCTGAAACACATTGCCAAGGGAGGTGTTCCCCGAGGCATATAAACTCCAGAAATTTAAGAAGAACACCAATTCCTACATTATTTTCATTGGTTCTCACGATGTTCTCTGAACATTACAGGATATCTCTTTTCGTGGGAACCACAACATAAAAAAAAACTAAAAATGAGTAAAAGCCTGAAAAACAATCTGCAATGATTAAAAAATAGTTGTTTATTTAACGATGTTACATTCAAAAGATAAGTTTATGGCAGGTCAGAGAATTATCATAGGGATTATTCTTACATGTTAAAATATCAACACTTAAATAAAATAAAATGATAAAATAATTTCGCTAGGTACACTCAGTTTGAATTCTTTCCGTACATCCACTTTCAAATCATTAACCGATATTGAAACCAAAAAACTTTCGGCCTTAGACTATAATTTACTATCTTGATTGATATAACAGCAATGATGAATCAGGTGACACACTCAAATGGAGTTCCCTATGAGATATGAAATTCATCCATATGAAACTATACAATGCAAAGATATATCTTTACCACGAATATGCTCACGTCATGGCCTGAATTCACTGTTATATAAAGGAGCAGCAGAATATAACAAACTCCCCTACAACATAAAAAAATTTAATGTAAACAAATTTAAAATTGTCATGAAGAACTCCCCTACAACATAAAAAAATTTAATGTAAACAAATTTAAAATTGTCATGAAGAGACACGTTCCCTTGTATACCCATTGAAAGCACTATTTCAATATATCAGTCATTAACCTACTACTGTGATATATCTAACCAAATATTTTATTATCTCAACTATTTCACTGTGGTACATCTTAACTTGTTTATTGTGTTATTCTACCGTAATTTTTATATTTAGAATTCAACTTTATACATTTCTTATATGTTTACCTGTAGATATAGTGATTGAAGGGCAGAACTGTGTGATATCAAATTATTTTTGTACTTATTATTAGAGGTATCTGTATGTAACACTCTGTGTATTTTGGGATGAAATAAAAGCTATCATGTGTTGGTTTTCAACTATACAAATTCTGATTCAATTGCTTTGCTCATTCTCTGATATTTTTGCCTCCAATATTGTCACCACGAAACCCAATTTATGATAATTGGAAAGTGGATTGGTGATATGTTTTACTGAATTCTTTTCATCTTGACTGACAAGAAGTAATAAATGCCAATTATAAGGCCAACTAAATGTCTCATGCCTCTAATTTTTTCAAATACATTATATCTGTGAGATCTGTCAAATTTGACTGACATTCTTGATGGAATTGGATATAGTTCCTATAATAATGCATCTGAAATACCATTTGAATTGTTATTGAAATAACATATCTTATTATGGCAGCAAAAAATGCCTTATTAGTCATCTACTTCACCAAAAAGTGATTATGATTTGATACATGGTGATTCATTGGGAAATATGCATACAGTAAGGGTCTATAATTCTTTGTAACCAAGATATAGGGTGATTTATTAATTTTCCCCATTTTTTAAATTAATCATAATCTATGAACACAAAATAAGCAGTCTTAATCCAGGGTCGGCCATGAAAAAATTGATAAGTAAGTTTCGAGTCGAAACAACACCCTGTATATCAGTATTTCCAAATTTCATTTACAAATTTGGAAAGAGCAGGAAAAAATAATTACGTTACCAATTAACTTGAGTCAAATTCAGAGGTTTCAATAATGAAGGGGCACAAAATTAAAAAGAAATAATTTGTCGTCCCCAAATTGCACCTCTACATTTTTTATGCATAAAATCATCAACTATTTCTCATTACCCTAATTTTTGGATGCCAACCTAATTGAAGAACTAGAGGACAAGTCCGTATTTGGGACAAATTATTATTATTATTCAATGACTAACGACTTTAAATACCCTGTAGGTGTAAGAACATATTATCATAACATTTGTTTATAGCACTAAATTTAAAACAACAATTATGGAAATGAAGAACAATGCCCATTCCAAAAAAAATCATCTTTGTTTAAAACAAAAATAACGTTCCTACTAATCTACATTTTAAAGGTTAATTATAACAGATAATAAAAAAAAAATTGAATTTTCTTCATCCGTGTCTGATTATTTTTTTAGCTAGAGCATGATCATTTCTCTACTCTGTTGATGCATTCTTGAAAAAAATAATAAAATCAAGCATTCTGGCGTGTGTTTTGTGTTGTAACGTTATTCATTGATAACAGTAATTGCTTACTCAATGACACACAAATTTGATAATAATGAACATGTATGTCTATGGATTTAACTTAATACAATTTGTTGCAAGGACATTTCTGTTTGAAATAAAGTTATGCTTTTTTCGGAATGGGCATTGTTAAGCATTTTTATAATTGTTGTTTTGAATGTAGTTCAATAAACAAATGTTATGATAATTTTATGATAATTTTCTTACACATACAAGTGGGTCATGTATAATAAAAAAAATTTCCCAAATACGGACATGTTTTCTCGTTTACAATCAAGTTGAGTTCCAAAAATTAGGAGAATGAGAAATAGTTGAATTCATGGATTATAAATGGAAAAGTACCATTTGGGACCACAAATATATTTCTTCAAATTTTGTTCCACCTCATTATTGAAACCCATAGACCTGACTCAAGTAAATAGGTGAAAAGGTGAAGAAGTTGTATGTGGAAACACCAATAACATTCAGTCAGACTCATTTTTTTCCTGATCTTTCCAAATTTGTGAATGAGATTTCAAAATATTGATAAACAGGGTTCTGGCTCAAAACTTACCTATTAATTTTTTCAAGACCGACCCTGGAATAAGACTTTTTTATTGTCAATCATCACCACTGTGGACATAGAACATACAAACCAAATATCAAAAAAATGTATAGGGTGGTTCATAAGTTATGATTAGTTGAAAAAATTAGGGAAATCAATTAATCTCCCTTTATCTTGGTCATAAAGAATGATAGACATATGAAATATAGTTTATTCAGAAGCACCTCAGTGTCCTCCATCTACCCTTACTATATGCACATTTCCCAATGAATCACCCTTTATAAATAATACACTTATCAGACTCATGTCCTAATAGTTTCTATATCTTATTACTTGCTTTTTTCTAACAATGAATATTCAAGAGTATTTTGTCCACACCATTTGCAAAACAATTAACTGATAATAAACCAAATTTCAACTAGAATTTTGGAAATATTCATCATTATTACTTAGTACATTTTTCAATACTATATAGGCTATCTTCAGCTAATGATTAGAGATTATGAAATTCTACACCAAAATTTCACAATGGACTGAATTTTGATAACTGGTGATAATAATAATTTTGTTCAATAATATTGATATATTCATTTACTACTATTGTGAAGAATAACATTTGAAACATTATTTATTTTTCATGACAGACAACATCTAAGAACATACTGTATGATGATTTGAAGCAATATGAGATAATCAATGTGGAAAGTGAAAAAATGTTACTACTTTCAAAGCTATAATATGTGAGCATGAATATACCAATTTAATAGGGCACCGAATCTGAGCAGTCTAAAGTGCTCAAACTTGCTAGAGAGCTATTCATGATGCCAAGGTGGTGTGGGTTCCACTCCAGCTATCAGCTGAGCATTTTCCTGAAAAATGTGTGGTTCTTGGATGTAAGCCTGGCAATACCTTGGCGCCTAAGAATTGGTTCTAATTCCACTGTAAGCTGTAGGTCCTGCTCTTCCTAACCCTGCACATGTTTTGAGTTCTGGGGAGTAGGACTCCAACTTGGAAGTATTAATATATATATATAAATTCACAGAAAACCACCTCAAGGTTGAATATTCATTAGGAACATATTTGTCTCAGGTGTCTCAGTTTTCAGTTATTCCACAATGAACACAGACCTTGTTTTCACAGTTTCAAAGTATACTCATCAATTGTGATTTTCAAAAACAAGCACACATGTAAAGCACATTCTGTGCTATCATTTGATGAAAATAACAATAAAATCGGACAACTTCTACAAATATATCAGCTTCTGAAAGTCATCAACCACCATCTTGGATTAACCACTATTTTTATTAGCTACTCTGCATCAATATGATGGCAATCATATTATGTGTTTTGTGATCCCACTATGTTGGGACGGAGAAACAGTACCCTCAAAATAAATTAATTGCTAGAAATTTTAGATAATAAAATATCTATGTTTTGAGAGCAAGTCTCTTAATGTTGATTTAGGGGATGCACAAGCACAATTTATTTCATATCTGTAATGTTTCATGTATAATTCATAAATATTAAAAATTGAGAGCTTCCAGTTCATACAGTGTTTAATTTTTGAGAATTGAACATTTAAATCATAATTATGAGATACCTAAATCATGCTTGTGCATCCTATGAATCCACCTTTATTTAATCTCAACTATGGCAGTTTACAAAGAGAAGATTAATAGGTAGGTACCACCTACAAAAATAATGATAATAATCATGAAGTAAAAGTAAATAATTGTTATGGAAAATAACTAAGAAAACAAAAAATTAAACTTGGGTGTATGCTGAGGTGTATGGAAGGTTCACTTGGAATGAAATACTCACTCTCTATTTAAATTACACAGTATAAACTGTATAATATTGTCATGATCCAAGATCTGCAAGAAAGCCATTTCTGCTGCAGCTCTCTCAAATGCTTTTCCATCTTTCTTATGTAGTTTGAAAGCTTTGATAGCTATGCTATCATCATCACCCTAAAAAAAACATGATTTGATTTGGAACAAATAGGAAATAAGTACATGAATTCATCAATATCAGGATTATACACTTACTTTTATGGTAGCTTTATAAACATTAGAAAAAGATCCAGTTCCTATGAGCTCTCCTAAGATAAATGTATCAGTTGCCTTTGGAACAGGGCATTCTTTTTCTCCAGTCATCTATTCAAAATTAAAAAACATATATATTTAGATTTGAATATAAAAAAGTTTTTTCTGTCTTAACCGTCAGTTTGTCACCTTCTCGGGAAGGATTTCCAGATATTTGAAGTACATATGCCATAGCAAATATGGATTTCAGCCTGAGAATTTCACGATTTCACTATAATAATATTATATATTTTGTATAAACTGCAAGAGTCAATGCTAGGTTATTCAGTTTATTTGATAAATTACTAATGTTATTATTGAATTGCTGTTCTTAAAAGTTATAGTTAATCGAAATTACAATTTTACTATCATTATATTTGTTATTGTTATTATGTTATTAACACAACAGTAAAGGTCGGAAAGTATCGATACTAAGTATCGATATATCGATACCAAGACGAGTATCGAAGTATCGATACATTTTCATGTGGTATCGGTACTGACAGATGACATTATATTTTTCGAATGGCAACTGTCACCTTCAGTTTGGAGTTCACCTTTGCATCGAATTTATACTTTAGGATATATCTTGATGGAAGTAAGATATGGAGTGCGCATTCGGCCACTTATTACGTATTGAAAATTTGAGAAAAATCACTCGACCGGCCTACTATGGTTTCTCTTCGTCACAACGAGCGAGTCGTTGATTCTGCCATTGCTGCTGTGACGAGTGGAAATAAAATGGCAAATGCCATTCTAGGTACGCGGAACGTATGTAACAGTGAGATTAAACAACTCTGAATTCGAAAAATCTGCGACAATTTCAAAACTGACAGAAGTCATAATTGTGCAATGTCGTAATCTATTAGGAGATCAACGGAACCATTGCTCTCGCTGCTCTCGAGAGGTCGAGTATAATTTCTGAAACAAAAGCGCATCAGTAATTACACCATATCTTACTTCCATCATTGATATATCTATATATATATTTATATATATATAGAGAGTTTTTGTATCATAATCAGTTTCAGAGCAATGAAATTGCTGCTATGCTAAATTCGAATGATGGTCGGTGACACTACTAGCGTCTGCGGACAGATGCAAGTAATAACTCCGTGGTAGGGGAACGTTAGTTAACTTGTGTCGAGTCTAATATAAGGAAGGAATTTTTTTTTAACAATCAATCGACCTAGATGAACCTTTTTTCTTGAAGAAGGAGAATTTTTCTTGAGGAAGGAAAATATTGTTTCTGCATAAAAAATGAGAAAACCTAACCTATCTATTTTATGAGTATATCTGTACTTGTTTCGTTGACCTGTGTAAAACTTTGTTTATTAACACCAAATAAAATATTCTATTCTATTCTAACCTAACCTAACCGAACCTCACCTCTGGCCTAAACATAGAAAACCCCTAAATGAACCTATTTCCCATAGAGAATATTTTTTAGAAATCACTTGAGAACAAGAAAAAAATAAAAAAAAGGTGAGCCTCGCACGGATTCGAACCCCGGCCCGCTGGCTTGGTATGCCGATGCTCTGCTTACTGAGCCAACCAGTTGCTTACGAGACGAAGTATGATGAAGTCATTTAGTCGGCGCCGCATAACGCCAGTCGCATCTACTGCCCACTATAACGTTCTCCCACCACGGAGCTATTACTTGCGGCTGTCCGCAGACGCTAATGGTGACACTTTTGACTTTCCGACAATTGATGATTCATAAAATGCTCTATTTTGTAGTATCGATATATCGATACTGGACAGAGCATCGGAGTATCGATGCCAAGTATCGATATATCGATATTATGGTGCGTTTAGTATCGAAGTATCGATACCCACCAGTATCGATACTTTCCGACCTCTACCACGATGTATTACGACTACGACTATGACTCGAGTGTGTTTTAGTTCTGTGAATGATGGAAAATTGTTCTGTGGTTGCGATTGCGACTTGCCATGAGGAATACAATAAATTGTACTAGATTGCATCATGAAGTTGTAACAGATGACAGTAAATAGTATTAGATTGAAAATGACGAAATAATAGTACATAACGTACTATGTGTTGATTGTGTTGTAATAGCATATCACGCACGAATGGAGAAGTTACACACGTAGCCGCGGAGTGGCGAGTGCGTGACTCCATGAGTGCGCGCAATTGATCTACAACACGCATTACGTAATATACGTTAGTATAATTCTTGACAATTATATGTCATCCGCTGTTGACGGCGATTACGCGATCATGACATACCCGTTGGAAATTGTGTTTATTCGAATATTTATGAATATCAAGGCGACTATTTTTCTTATTTTTGTTTTCAAGGAAAAACAACACATTAGAGAGTTGAAGTAATCACTGTACGTAGACTTCCACGTAGACATTAACGTACGAAAAATAACGTTTACGTATATTGTCGCTAAATTGAGTTGAAGTCGCCACTTTGGTCGTCACTGTCATCATAACGTAATAATACATTTTGTTTTCGGTTTGTATTGATGGACATTTTTGGTTGTGTGTTTGGATTCGAACATTTATTCCTGTCAAAATTAGAGGTTTCCTTGATGCAGAACTCGTTGGTGATCTCGAATTTGATAATTTTGACTCATCGGCATATTTCGAGTATCGTTTGGTTAACGTACGTTGATATTTAAGGTATACGTGAAGGAACGTGAGAAAATACACCCGTAAGCCCACTAACAACGCAAACGTGAAGAATTGGAAAATGCGCATGCGTAGCTGTCAATTCCTACGTTTACGTTAACGTTCATGACAACACTTCAACTCTCTATTGTATGTGATTCGGGATAGACATTAACACGTCGCCCCACATGACGACAGCAACTTGAACACACAAATTGATCTCACAGAGATGTCGGTACACTTACCTTGGGTACACTTCACATTCATGATTGAGATCACACCCGCGATTCGATTTGTGAATCACATCAACATCTCCAGATCCTCTATTTGGGACCCTTCACATTTAGATGACGAATGGGACTCAAAAGTTAGCTGAATGTGACTCCAGATTTCACGTTGAAATAAGACTCACATTGAGGTTACATTATAATCAGAGAATGTGAGGTTTAGAAGACCATCGACCATTTCTGACTGTTAGGTTCTTTTCGATTATCAAACTGGTGTCGTAGCGTCCCTGGAAGAATTATATTGTGCGTCTCAGAAATGCTGCATACACATTTGGTGTTGATGTCTCAAGTGGAATCACATCTAAATTGATGAAGGTATTCATCATACATCAGAATAGGTAAGTACCATACAGCAGCGCAGGCCTAGACTTTTTCGAATAATCATACAGGGTATATATATATCTCCATGAGTTAACGCGATGTATATGGAGAACTGAAAGTAGCACAATTCTGAAAATTCGTAGAGACGGTGGAAGAATCATGAAGAATCCAACCAAGATATGTTCGTTGATGTGAAGTTCTCGGTATTTCCGAAAGTGACGCCATCTTTTGTTATTTTCCATGGAACACCGTGAATTTTCCAACATTTTTGTATTCCTCACTTGATTTTGACTCAAATGTAAGTATGTACCTTATTCACCTGAAATGAGGCGTTTTTGAGTTATTCGAGTTTTTCTGGAAAATCGAAAATAAACGCCATTTTAATGCGAATGACAAATTCTAATGATATGCAGTGATTGAAACGTGAATATTGAAGGTTGAACGGATCACTCACAATAATCATAATAATTTACAGGGTGCACAAGAAAGGGAGTCCAGAAAGTGAATGTGAAACATTGAATTGACAATTTCAATAGGGAAGGCAATTCAAACTAGGGCTCATTCGAAAACATGTTCAATGTTTCAGGTTCACTTTTTGGATCCACTTTTCTGTGCACCATGTAAATTATTCGGTGGTGGTGATCTTTGTCAGTTATCCGTTCAACCTTCAATATTCACGACTTAATCATGGCATATTTGTCAGTTTGTCGATTCTTCAAGAAAAACTCGAAAAATTCAGAAACAGTTCATTTCAGGTATATATATAGGGTATGATACGATAATTTGAATCAAAATCTTGTGAGGAATTAAAAAATGTTGAACAATACAGGGTGTTCCATTGAAAATAACAAAGATGACGTCACTTCTGGAAAGATCAGAAGCCTCGCAATAACGACAATATTTTAGATGCGGAATCGTGCTACTTTTATTTCTCAATATATGGATCGCGTTAACTCATGGAGATATACCCTGTATGATAGTCAACAAAATTAACTTGAATGATATTAATCCAACTATGAGAATACATGTAGCCAAGAGAATCCAATATTTGCTCCTCATCGCTCCTTCCGTTGTAGCATGGTGGTATCCCTGCTCAGAATTTCAAATTGTTCCAAGGTTGTCCAGATGTCTTGTCTTGTGCATGATTTGGCATCTGAAAATGACTATAGAAACAATCAATTGATTCCATTTTGCCCATTTCCTGTTGAGAATAGCTTATAGAGAGTGAGTCACTTCCATATCTACGTGGAGTCGTGTAAGATTGAAATTATTTATGAGAAGATGAAATCACACTTGATACCTATTGTTCTATATACCAGGTGACAAAGGAGATAGAGAATAGCTGCGGCGCATTTTTTCCTTCCATTCATAATATTGTGCAATAACTTTGTTCTCAATCAGACTTTCCCAATATACAATCAGAATATGCATGTTCACTTATACCTTTTGATCTCAAAATGATATATTCCAAGGTATCATTGTAAGTATCATCATATAGTCGGCGGTATGGCGACGAAGTGTCGTCTACCCTGCCTTCATTGTCAACCAGTATAGGTATATAATTGAATCAAGTTATAAACGTTGTAGTTACTTACCCTGTAACTTAGATGAGAAACACACAGTATCTTCAATCACAATCATGATTAACAATTAGACTGAGATGCTTCAGTATGAGCAATAACGCCAAACACGAACTGCATACTAACACCGAATGAACTGAAACAACAGTAGTGTACCTACCTTTGTCTCAGGCCAAGATGGCCGCCGCCGGAAGTGACGTCACAACTGTTCCTGTGGTAGAAGGTGTTGGCTGCACGGAA